GGTGGAATGACGGGTGATGGCATTAATTCCAAATCGAGATAGACAGTTAGCGGCCTGATTAGAGGGTCCCTTAAGAAATCGAACATCTGTCGTATACTGAGAGGCAAAATCAAGATGGCGGGCATCAGTGGGCGAGTTCTTGTTGGAGGGCGTGGAAAAGACATAAAAAGGCTTATGGTCAGTGTAAAAGCGAAAATTTCTGCCTTCAGCAAATTTACAAAAATTATTAATGGCGAAATAAATGGCAAGGTGTTCTCTACCAAACGTGCTATAACGAGTTTGGGAGGCGGGTGTCAATTTATCAGAGTAGAATGATATGGGTTGGATGCCCGTTGATGTCTCTTGCTGGAAGGCTGCACCTATGGCGCAATTAGAGGCGTCAGCAACAATGGACGGCGGGGCATGAGATAGGATGCAGATAGGGTGTGGGGAATAGGAGTTGTATGTGCAAGGGTCTCTTTAACACGTTGGGACGCGTCCATGGCTGTGTTGTGGAGAGAAAATTCGCGGTCCTTACCCCTTAAAAGATTTATGAGGGATAGAATTACTTGAGCACGGTGGGGGATGAAACCTCGATAAAAATTGACAAGACCTATGAAACGGTGCAGTTGTTGGAATGAAGTGGGAACAGGGACCTCACGAACAACTGAACATTTAGCGTCCTCGGGATGGAAACCGCAAGCATCTATGCGATGTCCCAGGAATAAGAACGAGGGAACGCCAAAAACGCATTTAGAGACGTTGATAAAAACACCGAGTTGACTCAACCGTCCAAAAAATAGACATAGTTGTTGTTATTTTCGCCGTTCACTGAGACTTGCAAATAGAAGATCATCGAAATAAACGAAGACGAAGAGTAAGTCCCGAAGGACCTCGTTAATGGAATTTTGAAGAGTTTGGGCGCAGTTACAAAGTCCAGAAGGCATCCTGAGTGGAGTTGTAATCGCCGTTTTTTGATGTCCTCTAGAGCATCGGGTATTTGGTGGAAGGCTTTTACTAGGTCAGCGATTGAAAATATTGTTGTCCCCGCTAGACTAGAGGAAGTCATGGAGGTGTGGGAGTGGATGTCTGTCAGGGACAGTGCAGTTGTTTAATCGTCGGTAATCGCCACACGGACGCCAGTCCGTGAGAGACTTCTTACAAACCCTGTGCATAGGGACGGCATATGGACTAGTGGAGGGTCGAACTGTGCCAAGTTCCATCATTTTACTGAATTCAGCCTAGGCGATAGCTAACTTGTTGGATGCTAAACGACGAGGACTGCTAAATACGGGTGATGCCGTGGTCCAAATATAATGTATGATGGCATGTTTAGTAGGCTGGTCAAACTGTGGGATTGGTTGGAAAGGGGGTTATACGTGTGGGGTAAATGCAAAGGCTGTTATAGGAATGTTGGAGACTGAGACAGAAGGTATAGTTTCCAGACAAAATGTTTAACGGTTTTAGAGAGCTGGAAAAATGGCAAATATTTTTTAAAAAATCCTGTGGAACACAGCAAAACCTGCGGAAAATCACAACAATGGATAGGGATAGATTTAGCTAACCGTAGTACTGCAGTAACCAATGAGAGAAAGGCGGCGGACGGCAGTGTCAGTCCGCATAGCGTAACCGAAACTATCAGGCGAAACTATGAATTTCAGTGAAGTGGCAAGCGGAAGTGGAGTGGACGACAACGAAACCCAACTGCGGTAAGTGTATAGACGAATGACGGAGAGGTACACGTAAAAAAGCAACATAGGAGACGTGGTTGGTGTAGTAAAAAGAGGATAAGGTAGCTGGTGACTGTTGAACTCCCGGAAAAAAAACGATAAAACTTGGCAACCGTTATGTTTTATCAATTATTTGGCGTACTGTTGTCCTCTTATAGATCGCAGACTGCAAGAAGGCCAAGGTGGGCGGCTCCTCGAGTCCATGACCCAACAAAATTCGGCGAAATCTAGGATGTAATTCATTCGTCTAACCTTGTGCAATATTTGCAAACTGCTGGCTTCGCAGGTACTGTGTCGATGCCGGGTGCCAATGCAGTTGCGAGTACTGCGGCAACACACCGACGGTTTTGCCTTCAAGTAAGCCTAAGTAGTAGCTGCATATACTCTACAGGTGTACCAAATTTGAGACAAAAAGAGCATTGAGGACCGCCTCGGTGTTTGAGGGAAGCCACCCAACATTAACAAGGGTAATGAAGACAGCCCTTGCTTTTCTGAAGGGAACGGGGTCAACTAGATGTGCAGCATCCTTGGGCATCGATCCCAATACGGCAGTTGAGTGATATGGCATCTGGAGAGATGTTTGCACGAAAGCCCTCCTTAATGAGGTGAGGCAGCTAGGGGGAGAAAACGTGGAAGTCCAAGTGGACGAAACCATGATAACGAGACGCAAGTGCAACGTCGGCCGCTTGCAGGAGAGGAACTGGATTTTGCGCAGAAAATTCCGCTTAGTTGACCATTCCTAGACATGTGCGATACGAAAAGAGGGAAGGCTGTGTTCGAGCAAGCGAACGACCGGAGCTGGCCTTCCCTGAAGGCGGTAATTAATAAGTGGATGTCCCCAGGTAGTATCATACTGACGGACCAATGAAAGGCGTATACCCGGCTGGCGGACGAAGGCTATCTCCATCTGACAGTTAATCATTCCGTCAATTTTGTTGATCCGGACACCAAAAAGAATACTAACACGAGAGAAGCGTATTGGAGCAGAATGAAGAGAAAATTGCGCGAATAGGGTCCCATCAGAGGAAGAAAAGTCGGGGAACACATCGATGAAGCCCAATACCGCCCGTGGTATGGTGTGAAAGCAAATAACCTACCGGAAGCCTGGAAAATATTCCTAACGCATGTGGCCTAAGCGTATCCGGTCGCGGAGAGTGGGA